ACGAATTGAAAGTAGGTGACATGCTTAACGGCGGGGATGCCCTATGGACCAGGATGTTCAGGAGTACATTGATGGCCCCCTGGGCCTGTAGACATGCCTGGAGTTGATGGCTGTGGGTCACAGACACGGAGAAGTGCTCTGATACAGGTTGAAAGGAAAGGGCTTGGCTTTTCTAACCCTCCTGCATGGACAGATTCCACATCTGAGTTTCGAGGGGCCAGCAAGAATCACTCTGAGCTCCTGCTGCATCCTGCCTCCTAAGCTTGTTGTAGGGAACTACACCAGCCCTTGGGAAACCTCCGAAGGGTCCAGCATTCTCTCTGGGAGACAGTGGAAAGGGGGACAGTAGACAAGTCACCTAACTGTGCACAGGACCCTCCACACTGTGTAAGACAGAGCTCCTTGAGAAGTAAATTTACCTAACAGCATGCAGAGTCCAGGCCCCACCAGAGAATCTGTTGCAGGGTCTTTGGCTGGGCTTCAAATCTGCATCTGAAACCTGCATGCCAGGACGTTCACACATGTGCCCAGCACACGCTGAGAAGTGTGAGGAGGGGAGACAGGCAGTGCTGTGGAAGACCCCAGGTGATGATTGTGAAGAAGGGCTCTGAGGGGCAGCGCCTGGGCTTGGATGCAAGCAGGGGGGCCTGGAGTTGTTCATGGGGCAAGTCAGAGCCCAGCAGATGGCTATAGAGTAGCCCCTGTAGTCTCACTGATGCAGATTTATCTGATTATCTGTTCCCAAAATATACTGGCCGTGCCCCACGACCAGCCCTGTGGCATCCCTGATGCACACATACACACATGCACTCACATGCACATGTATGCACACACACATACATACACATGTTTACAAATGCATGCACCTGTATACATGCACAAACTGGATGGCGAGGAACTGATAGACACCTACAACAGTTGCTAGCTAGTTGAAGGCCTGGGTTGGTCTTCCAGGATATCTTGGGGAGACAGACCCCAAGCCCTAAAGTAAGTCAAGGTGAGGTCAACACCCTGGACCGACAAGGACCCAGGAGAAGCTCAGGGAGTGAACCCTACACAATGGCTGTGAGAGCTCACAGCGCCATGTGCCATCTCCCCCAGGCTTTGCGGCGTAGATGGAGACAGAGAAAAACAGTGGCAGAGAGAGACACACAGAGAAGCAAGAGACAGATACATGCACAGAGAAATGAGAGACAGAGAGACACATGCACAGAGAGGGAGAGAGACAAAGACAGAGAGAAACAGGAAAAGAGAGAGATCAAGAGGGAACAAGAGAAATAGGGATATAAAGACAGAGATGTGGAGAGATAGAGACAAATCTAGAGAGAGAATCAGAGACAAAGGGGTTGACAGAGATGCAGAGACACCAGCCCAGGGCCATTTAATCTACACCTGGCACAGCTACACTGCTGCTATGGGGCAGGGACCCGCTGCCAACTCCAGCCCCCCGTGGGGTGGGGTGGGGTCTCTTGGGTCTTGGCTGGCCCAGCCTCTCTTCCTGCAACAGAGGCAGGGGCAGGGGGTGCCTCTGGGTTCTGGGCGGCCCCAGCCTCTCTTCCTGCAACAGAGGCAGGTGCAGGGGCTGCCTGAACAAGCCGAGGTGCCACTAACCACAGGTTTTGTGTGCCGGGTCTTTTCTGAGTTTCCTGCAGTGCCTCAGAAGTTGGGCAGGGGGATGGGGGTGTGAAAGGCCCTTTTGCTTATCAAAGGGCCTCTCATGTGTGGCTGGTAGCCTTAGGACTGCTCCCCAGAGAACAGAGAACCTGTCCCACACCCTGTGGTGGCCAGGTGAGCTCTCTCCTCCCAGGCCATGTTCCTCTGCCCTGTCTGGTGCTGGGGTGGAGTTGGCCCTGGACTTGTGCAGGATTCTTGGTGACCTCCTAGATGGATAAGGACCCTTGGGATGCTCCACCTAACACTTTAGGGCTAGGATCTCAGGAATTTGGTTACACGGGAAGGTCTTCCCAAACCCATGTTCAAGCCCTGAACATGAAGGTGGGAACAGACCTCCCCTTGGGCCGGGACTGAGCGCAGAGGGCATGTCCCAGTCAAGCCTATATGAGGGCACCTTTGGAGCCAAAGGTCCTGCCTCTCAGGAGGTAGCCTGCCCCCATGTTCTGACCTGGGCATACGGGGCTACAGTTTAGGGCACAAGCTCCAGATTGCACCCACCAGGGGTGGGTGCTTCAGTTTTGAGGACAGAAGTCCAGATCCTAGGTAGGTGGGCACAGAAATTAGGCACAGTGTACGGTGATGTCAACAAGCCCCCCTGGAGTGGATCCATACCCTGGCGCAGGACAAGGATGTTCTTCAGCCCCTCACCCTGGGCCGAGTGACCACATGGCACTGTGTGGCTGGCCCTACTTCTGCTAACTCTGCCATTGACATTTTGAGCCTCCCCCACCGCCTCCACCTCCTTGGGTGCCCAGCCTCTAAATGGACAGACTTTGTGACCAACTCTGGGCAGAGAGGGAAAGAAGAGGGGCTGAAGGGACTCACCAGTTCACCCCCGTCACTTGATCGAGGAGCATAACAGCTGCGGCCTAGGAGATTGGGCGAGGTGCCCACTGCCACCTCAGGTGACTGAGAGCAGGCACAATTGAGTGTGCTCAGGTAGCACGGGACTCCAGGAGCGGGCCCTGCTGCCAGGGTGGACTTCCCCTCCTGCCCTGCGTTTCAGATCATCCTTGTTCAGCTCTCGGGCCCTCACTGCCCATTCTCAGCTGAGAATCCAGGACATTCGCAAAGAGCAGAGTGGAAAAGAGCCCAGAGACCCCCCTTTGCTGCGCTGTGCCTGGAGGTCCAGCTTGCTGTCAAAGGGAAGACGAAACACAATGCATAGAGGCAGGGCATTTGACCACGTGCTTCCCCACTGCTTTGTGCTGTGACATCAGACTTTTCAAAAGAATCCCAATGCCTGGTCTGAGATAGCTCGGAATACATTTGCATGTGGGGGCCATGGTGTGGAGCACAGGCCTGGGCATGTAGGGCTGGATCTCAGCTCCTGGGGTCAGGCAGGGCCTCCTGAGGGCCTGGACACCAGCCACGGTGGGCTAGGAGGCTGGATGGAGAACCCTCTCCTTCTCTGCTCTCCTGTTCTCCCTCCAGCACCATCCAACACACTACTCTTCTCCCCCATCTGTGCATCTTTCTGTCTCCATCGTGCCAAGACTCTGGTCTCTGCCTTCTCTCCAGAGTTAGATTCACTGGGCTTTGCTCTTGGCATGAATTATGAAGTCCCCCAAAACAGAGAATTCTCAGAACAGACACCCCTCGGCCCACATTGTTGCACATCAGCCTTTGAGGTGTCCAGGAAAGCTAGGCCCAAGCATGTCTGCTCAGAGACCTGTCATTTATAGGAAGGGACTCTGGGAGGGGTGACAGGGTGCGGATGCACAGACTTGGTGGTAGTCTTTATGCATCCAGAACAATAGAGCTGCCTCCAGAAAGAAACCTGGTTGACTCTGAGGCCGAGCAGGGCCCTTGGTCATTTAGGAAGTGTCTGTGGACATCTGGAAAACACCTGAACTGTTTGCAAAACCTAGACACTGGCCATAAGCAGGTGACTTGTGGATCTCTGGTGAACAACCCCCTGGCCCCACTAGGTCCTTTTGTTCTTAGTAGAGTTGTCAGGAGAACTCCAGGGAATATGCAGCTGTGGAGCCCAGAGTCAGTGTCACTTTTACTACAACAGGTCACTATTCCCCTTCCCTGTCTTCACTGGGCTCTTCTGACTCCCTGCTCCCAGCATCTCTGCCCACCTGGGCACACCTGCCTACCTGGACATACCTAGGCAGCTGGACACACCTGCCCCAGGACACATCTACCCACCTGAGCACAGCCTTTCACTGAGGTCTTCCAGGACCTCAGTGTAGTAGTGGTTTCAGCCCCTGCCTATCAGCCTTCCTCCCACCTCCTGCCTTTTCTGTACTGGGGCTGGGCTGCAAAAGAAGCTTGTCCAAGATGCTGCCAGCTTCAAAGATTTTGGGTTCAGAACCCTAAGTAGACAACGAAGAGAACAGTGGGCGGCTGGGAGGCTGGCCTCCACCTGCAGCCACCACTCCATGGTCCCACAGGTCCAGGTAGTGGATAGTAAGGTGAGGTCTACTCGCCATGGCCATCGCAGAGGTGTGGGGATGGCGAATGAGAAAAACAAGCATGAGAAGCTGCCACTCTGCCTGTCAGAAGTGGCATTCAGGCAACAACAAAGCCAAGCAAAGTCAGAGCCCTGTGCTCTTTGAGGGCCTGGTGAGAAAAGCCAGGCATATGCATGCCACTGGGGTGTCAAACTGAAACTTTCCAGTTTTAAGGAAACTAAACACTTTTCTTACTTTCGGGGTGATATGCAAGCTGCCGGGGGCAGGCATACACACACACATGCACAAGCGCACACCCCCCATGCAAACGCATGCCTTTTCAGATTTGTATGCAACTCCACACCCCAACAACACCTTTACCTTCAGAGAACGGTTTTCTCTAGCCCAGCGCCCAACTCTCCTTAGCAGAGGGCTTGTTCTTAGACACAGCAACCTCTGCTTTCTCAGTGTGGACAGGAGTTTTTGAGACTCTGGAGCTCATTATATTGCCTGGCCAGGGCAGTGAACAGCTTGGTGAGAAAAGGGAGGTCCTGGGCATGGGCGGGGAGTGCAAGTCAGGCCTCCCTAATGGCTGGGGTCCAGGCACTCACTTGCCGTCCTTCCCTAAGACAACGGGATAAATGCAGCGTGGAGCCTCTAGGACGTATGGCACCTCTGACCCTTGGATCTTTCTCTTCCTGGACAGATCTCTGAAGACCTGGGCAGTGAGAAGTTCTGTGTGGAGGCTAATCCGGGTGCTGGTAGCTGGCTCAAGTACATCCGGGTGGCTTGCTCCTGTGATGACCAAAACCTCACCATGTGTCAGATCAATGAGCAGGTAGGTCTGGGTTTGTGCCTAGGAGGGAGGTTCTGCGTCTCAAAATTGCCTTTGTGGACACAGGGCCAGAATTGATGGGGAGGCTGAGAGTAGCAGGGACTCGTCTGAGGACTTCTGCCAAGACCCATCTTGCAGTGGAGGTGGTTACCGGACACTTGGCCAGTGCCGGCTTTCTGGGTGCCCGCCTACCTCGTGAAAGCCCCACTGGAGCCTTTGGTCAGTGGCCCTTGCCTGGGGCTGATGGTTGTTTGAGAAACAAAAGATGATCGTTTGCTTGAACAACAGCTGGAGCAGACAATCCCAAACCACAAGCATTCACATTCCCTGCAAATGCCACTGCCTATGAGACTCAAGAGAAGCTTCTATGCAGTCATGTGTCAATGGCCCTGTTTAAGTGTTCTCTGTAAAGTCAGCGCTAGTTCAGATACCTCCTCTGCCAAACCAGGCTGAGGCATGGCCCCCATTGCCCAAAGACCCTGAGAATCACATCACAGCCTGACCAGCCTGTAAAGGGCCCTGGCCTTATTTTGTCAGAATGTCTTTTCTCTGCTAGGAACAAACCAATTCTCCTCCTGAGCTGTGTAGTCCTGCTTTTGACCTCAGGTCCCACCAAGCCAAGGGACATCTTGGTTTCTGTTCATGGCTACTTGGGGGCCCAGGATTCCCTATAAGCTCACTGGACCCTCATGCTTTGTGATTTGTCCATGCCACGTTCGTTCAGGGTGGATGTCCAGACCCAAGCTGATTTGAAGAGAAGATGAAGTTTCTTTTGCCTGGAGAAGGCAACATGGCCTCAGGACAGGCTGTTGCTTGGTCTATTTCTTTAATTACCTGTTTACAAGTGGCCGATGGGGACTCTGTGTGCTCTAGAAACTACTAGTTTTCAGCCTGTGTTCCCACAGCAGCAGGTTCTTCCAGGATGCCTGGAGCCACCAGCCACTTCCATCAGAGCAGTTTACTTTTGCCTAGAATGTCTTGGGGTCACACGTGAGATTTCATTTGTAGAAAATGGATTCCATTGCTTTAAGAAATATTTGCAAAGACCACGTAGCAGGACACATTTTTGTGTAGCCTGTGCAAACTGTTATAAGCTGTTCAAGGTTCTTGACTTGAGAGAAACAATTTTGCATTAAGAAACAGAGAAAGTGGACTCTAGGGAGGCCCCCTGTACCCTGCCAGCCTGCCCAGTGGCTCTCCCTCATTTGCTCAGCCTCCTTCCTAGCCATGGGGCTGTCTGGATTGAGTGATAACTCTACTGGACACAAGCTGGTTCGAATGGGGGTCATGAATCTGCCTCTGCTCCCAGGATGTCTATGGCCTATGGCTAAAACCAAAAAGGTTGAAATAAGTTTTTCTGATTGTAAAAGAATAATATGGAAATGAAGCAAAAGAATAGCCATAAACGTTAGAATAGAATGTTTAAAATATATATCCTTTTCCTTCTTCCAGAGGAAAGTGAAATTTGAGGAAAGGTAGTTAAATTTAAGGCAGACAGAACAGTGGGTTGTCCCTTGCCCCTTGAAAGCTTGGGTTTATAGAGACTTCTGTGTCCTTTGTTGTCTGCTGGGAAGGCAACAGGCAGGTACATGTGCATCTGGGGGCTGGGGCCAGGACTACACTTTTTCAGATACAGATTAGAATAATGAATGATCCAGATGTTTTTATTGAAGAAATTAATATTAATTTGAAGTTTTGGATTGGACTTAAGCAGTAAATCAGGTATCTTTACATGATACATTTTTTTAAATCCAAAAAACAGGGCCAGCAAGTGGCATGAGGATTAAGGACTCCCACACAGCTGACTATGGTTCGAGTCCCAGACCTAGTGGCTTGCTTTCTCACTCTCTCTCTCTCTCTCTCCTCAATCATCTATCTATTTATCTGTATCTCTCAAGAATAAGTGCCCTGAAACAAATTTTTAAAAATAATAATAATGACAAAATAAATTAATAATTCTTTTCAAAAAATAGATGTGCAATATTTTTGAAAAGAAGCCTGTCTTTAAAAATCTTTGCTTTATTATTACTATTTTAGGGAGGCCTTTATTTTAGCTACACAAGGGGTCCAAAGGGAATGCAGCAGCTGCCTTTCTGTTGTCAGGACTAGGGAACAGAAACCCTTTTTTCAGCACAGAATAATCGTCCTTAACTCTCATTGACCCCCTTTCTTACAACCCCATCTTTATCTCCCAACCCTTACTCAACCTAGCCTCAGGAACATACCTGGCTCTATTACCTAAACCCAACATGATGTTGAAACTCCTCTAGGAACTGTCTCATCTACTAGTTGTTTTTTTGTTGTTGTTGTTGTTGTTTGGGGGGGGTTGTTGTTGCTGTTGTTTTTCCTATCAACACAGCCTCACAGAACCAATCTCTCTGTTTCAGGCCTATCGGCTGAGTTAAAACCTCAGATTCAGGGAGCTTGGGCTGCACAGTTAAGCAAATCCAACCCCAAAAAGGCTTAAAGCAGAGAGGAAACGGCTTCAGGTTGAAACACTCCCCTTGGAGGGAGAGAGAGCCCTCTGTCCCCAGGAACACCTCAGATCACAGCAGATAACACCAGGTGTTAAGGGCAGCCAAAATCCCCACTAACAGTGCTCCTGTCTTAGATCAGCTCATGGCAGTGGAGCCATGAGCTCCAGAAGCTGAAAGAAACTGGCCAGGTGGGACATGGGGAAAAAGTAACAGCTAGCTTCTCATCCTAAAATCTCAACTTTGCATTTTTGTTATCAAAGAAAAATGAGCCACTGGTGAATTGTATTTTCCACGGAATAATAAGATTTAATCTTATTGGGTTGTTGGAAAAGTCATGACATATTTGTATATAGGAAAAATATGCATGCCTTTTCTGATGACACAATAATAATAATATTAAAAAATTGCAGAGACCAGCAGTTAACGTAATGGCTATGTCACTGGACTCCCACGTAGTTGACCGCAGTTCTAGTCCCAGACCCAGTGGCTTAAACTCACGCCGGGCGCGTGTGCTTGCATGCCCAAGATCCTGAGAGGAGAATGGAGGAGAAGGGATTGCGGCGTGGCCATCCCCCCGGGGGGTGATTTCTCGCTTTCTATCTCTCTGTCTCTCTCTGTCTGTCTAGCGAGCTCACGTGCCCTATTAAAAAAAAAAAATGCCTGCTCTCGGAAACTCATAGGCTCTCAATAAATACTTTCTGGTTGAATGAATTCATTTTAAAAATACCTTTGTGAAAAGGATACAATAGATTTCAAACTATTTTTTTAAATTGTCTCCCATGAACGGAGGCTCTCTCTCTCTTTCTCTCTCTCTGTAGAACAGGCCTGTGATCTCAGCAGAAAGTACTTCTCTTCCCTAGTCCTGACCCTAGAAACACAAGTTCCTGCAAAGCAACCTATGTTGATCTTTTTCTAATAATAAAACAAAGATTTTTGAAGATGGGCTTCTTGTTAAGAAAGAAACATTACAAGATTTTAATGGGGCTTCTTAGATTTCCATGGTCCCAAGAGTTCCCACCAGGATTTCCTGGCATATGGACATCACACTTACATGGACAGTCTCTCGGCCTCAGCCAAACATGTGCGCGCACACACACACACACACAGACACCCCACCTCCAGTACGGCACAGACATTAAAGGAATCCCTATCTGAATATCTGCATGCCACAAAACAGTGTCTAATTTGCCAAACGGAATTCAGAGAGAAAATACGTAAGTCAGAATAGCACCAATGTTGTTTCAAAGTTCAAGGCACATGACTTCAGCTGAATTTTCAGAGGAGTGAGGAGACAGGCAGAAAAAAATCTCAGTGCCCTGAAGAGAAAGATCTAGAAGCCACAGTTCCCAGAAGAAATGAGCCCTCCACATGGATGGAGGAGCAAAGCAGCTCTGAATGAAAGACTCAGATAGTCATGTGGACCCAGGAGGGGATGCCACCCCCACCTCCCTCGTGGTTCTGTGCAACTGATAGCTCCCCATGCCACAGCGCCCCAGGAGTCCACCCACACCACTGACCTCGACTCCTCACTCCAGTCTCACCTGCTGTGCCCCAAGACCCCTGCCTTGGTACAGAAGAAGGCCTGTATGGTGCTCCTAGGCAGCCACTGAGGTGGAGGAACACTGGCATGAAAAAGTATGAGATTCAACAGGACATTAGAGACTGTCAGCAAGTTTCCCTGGGCGACTCTCCCCTGGCCCCACGGTCAATGGACAAATGCAGGTTAGAGTGGGCTAGGTGGCCGTGGGCGGTGCTGGCCCCCTCCTCCCCAGCAACACGGGCCTGGGGCTTCATGCCCCTCACCCTTTGCAGGGTCCACGTGAACCGGGCCATCTTCCCATTGACTGTACCATCCCCACAGCCAGGGGCCCCAGAGAAGTGCTTGCTGGCCCTACCTCCATGTTCTCCCCTAGGCGATAAGAGTCCTCCTCCTGGTGCTCTGTGGCTCTGAGAGGTCTCAGCCCCAGGTGAACTTATGGGAAGTGACTGACCCCATCACTCCCACCCACCGCAGCCCTTTTTCTTAGATGGAGCCAGCTCTGGATGGGGGGCGGGAGCAAGAGAGGTCTATTCACAGGCAGGCAACAACAGAGGCCAAAGATGATCCATGGCTAAGGGCCTGTCAGGGCCTTTGAGATAGGAAAAATCATCCACAGCCGACGGTTGGGAGTCTGAGCCTCTCTTCTGGGATTTCTGGGGTGTTCAGGTCACCACCATAGAGCCTCCTTGACAACCGAGCATGTCAGTCATTCCCAGGGGCTTCAATACATGTTTTCATCTTAGTATGAACCGGAAGGCAAAGAGGCAGCCCCAGCTATCTCAATCCCTTTGGGAGGCAGGACCCCCCGGCCCTCCCTGGAGACTTTGTCTCTCCCTCCGGCCCCCACCACCCTCCAGTTCCTACTTCTCTTTTTGGAAAATTGAAGACATTCAGATCACTCCTGCACGGTTCTTTCTCCTGCAATTATGAGCAAATGAGTCGGTTTGAAATGTTGCAGGAGACGCAGACAGGGCTTGTTCCTGAAT